CCCTCCAGCCTATGCCCCTTGCTGCCAGCTGGTCATCCAATGCCTTATTGTTTCCCACCCTTTGCTTCGTTCATTGTCTTTCATGCATTTCTGCCTTTGCCTTTCTGCCTTTTGCATCCGTTTGGTTTGTTGCGTTTCGCTTTGTGGTTTGTTGCTTTTATGCCCTTTGCATGACTAGCTGCGGGCCCAGTTTTTTTCGCTGCTGTGCGTTCGTTTCATGGGCATACCTGGCTGCGGGCCCAGTTTTTTTCTTCTCTTTTCTCTTTGCGGGCCCGTTTCCAATTGTTGCTTATAACTTATAATAATGTGATGACCCGTCCAAACATGGACTGAAACACACAGCTGATTTCTGAGTTTTGCCCGTAGACTGAATGCCCTGCTGAGTTTTCCGCTTGCTACTAAGTCTGTGTGTGCAGGCTTGCTGGACTGCATGTCTGTCTGAGTGCTGGTTGGCTTGAGTGTGTGTGTGGCCGTGCCTGTCTGAGTGATGGTTGGCTTGAGTGTGTGTGTGTGGCCCGCAAGGGCACTTGCTCGTTCGTTGGGCCCTCAGAACCGGTACTTACCTGTGGCCGTGACATTGAGGGCTTGCAGCAGGAAAAACACGCAAGTAGCGGGTAGGCCGGTACCGCACCCTGAAGGGGTAGATGTGCGGGTACTGGAGGCCGAGCAGAAGAAGACAAAAGTGGCATTTTTAGAGGCCCAGTAGTTGTAGGTTAGGTCTAGGAGGATACCAATCCAACCAGTCTGGGTCTAGGGCCTGTACGGGCAATATCAGAGTCTGCAATGATGTTTCCCTCCGAAAGGGAGGAGGTACCAGTTGCTTGGAAGGCCGAGCGGCCTGGAAGTCACCGCCCGAAGAGGCAAGAAGGCCGCTATATCTCCCAGCCGAGCGAAGAGCCCGGCCTCTTTTTCGGTGTGCAAGTTTGGCGACACACTGGTGGAGCGCTGGTTGGAGCAGCGCTATGCTGGAGCAGCGCTGCTGGGGAGGAAGGAGAAGGACACGAGGGAGGAAGAAGGAAGGAAGGGGGAGGAGCGCCAGGGGTACTTACCTGGCTATGGTGGCAGCCATCTTCATCACCTTGGTGGGCGCTGCAGCAGGGAGTCCCCAACTGGGGAGAGCCACACCAAGGAGCTTCAAGGCAGGGTTGGGCATGGCGGCCTGAGCTAGAGCAGCCATAGCTGCTTTGGGTTGTCCTTTGGGCATCTGGGCAAGGCCTAGTAGTCCGCCATAGCCTCGGCCTATGAGAGGGAAGAGTGGGGGAGGCGGCCATGGCTATGGTGGACCTCATGTGATACCTGCAGTAGAAGAGGGACTCGGACATTGATTCTGGATCAGCTATTCAACATTGTATTATTACTTCTTGTATGAATAAGAGAAGGGGGAGATAAGGAGGAGGAGATTGTTGGGCGAAGAAGAAGAGCCTTGTCATTTGTCTGCGCTGGTGTACCTCATCTTCTTCTTCTTTCTTTCTTCTTCTTCTTCTTCTAATCCTCTCTCTTCTCTCAAGTTCATTCATTCCTTTCTGCAATTGGGCGGCATTGTACTATCTGATGGATGAGTATATCGAAATCGGCCAGGATCATAACAATAATAATTTTTGAGTCATTTTGTCACAACATGCCATAGCACACTTGCCGAAGTTTGATGCTACGTACGCACACACACACACACACACACACACACACATACACACACACACACACACAACAGCGCACGTTTCCATTTACTCCCCGCTGTTTCACTCTCTCGTTTCATCCACACCTCCTCTTCCCCCTCCCTGGCAATCCCTCGATCTCTACTCTCATTAGTCTCTCTATTCCCCCCATCCCTTGGATTTCATTCCCCCAACAAGCAAGCACTAGCACTGTGTCCCTCCCTCCCTCCCTCCCACCTTCCCTTGCTTCTTTCTGCCAATGCCAACCAAACCTTTTTTCACCAACTACTATCCGCGGTCTCTCAATCTGTCTACCTCCATTCTGTTCTTGTCCGCACACCCTTCATCTATGCTTCCCTCTTCTTCCTCCTCTTGTCCGTCATTTATGTATTC